TTTACTCCCAATTCTAATGTTGATTAAACTCAGTTAGATAAAGCATTCCCCTTCCAATCTGGCAGCTATTCCTGAGATGTTCATCAGAGAGGGAAGTTTATAGAGTAAATGACTATTTTAAAGCTTAATGAAATAATTTTGAAATAATTTTGAAATAATTTTCTGTGCCTAAGCTTGCCTACTATTTTGCAGTTATGATGCAGAGAGGTAAATCATGTTGAATAAAAATGCCCCTCTGCCAGTGCCAGGTGTGGTAATATACAATGATCTGTTCCTTTAGCTACTTTTTTAATCCTCAAAAAACAGTGGCTGGGAACAAAACATTTATTCTTTTCGTTAAATATTCGAAAATTCATTTATTGCATTTCCTTGCAAATCTTACTAGGTTTTACTCTCCTAGACTGCAATGGACACTATATTTTTAGAAAAGACGGTAAATAGGCAAACACATAGTAACTGTGTTGTATTGGTTTTATGTAACAGCAAAGTAGTTGCAGCAGTGATTCTGTTAAGTTCTTATGACTCAAATAATTCATCTCTAAGTAACAGATCTGTTTTGGAGAGTTAGCAAAAAATGTGTTTCCTTTGCTATCAACTCCCTGAAAACAGAGTGTTTAGGCCTTAAAACTGAAAATTAAGGTCTATAAAATGGGAACTGTGGCACCAGGAAATCCCTCTTTGATGATTATGAGTCATTTTGATGCCTTTTTTTTTCCTCAACACTTGCACATATTTTAGGGTTTTAAACAGAAATACAGGAAGTCCTTATACCAGCTTTAAAAGGATTCCCACTCTAGAATGTTCTAAAGGAAAAGTGAGATTTTTGGCACTGCTGCATCCATGCAGACTGACAATTACTAGAAAGTAGCCTTCCACTCAGGTTTGAAGTGAAAATCAAACAGAAGTATTGCTGTTAAATAAGAATGTAATTAGGCTTCACATACTTGCTTTTTTGTGTTTCTAATACCTGCTTATTGACCTGCAAGACAGAGGGAAACAAAAGAGCTCATCACTGTCTTCTTATGGATCTAGTATTTGCAAATTGAACAGTTCACAGAAGCTTAAACCACATTTCAATAAACGATGCAGCAAACAGGGACATAGGAATTGGAGATGCATAATGCAAGAAGATACAAAACCTCTAGTTACTTGCAACCTAGATCCATACAGAATGGTGCATACGCTGAGCTTTTCAGACTCGTATTGCCAATAGGAGCATTACTCATGACGCAGAAGTTTAAACCTCCACTGCAAAATACAAGACTTGCCCACAGCAGAAAATGATATGCTGGGCCACAGACACTAAGATTTCCAGTGCTAAATCATGGCATGATTGTGATCTCGGAGACACCTAGGAAAAATAGAATTAAATAGAGATTCTTCAATACAAAGGAAAAACAGCTTCTGGTCCATTGAAAGGAAAAATTATCAATGACTAGGAATGTAGGAATCTCAGAGCACACCAATGAGATAGCATTCACTTTTTAAAAAAAAATAGAACAAGTAATTGATGTTCAGCCAGAGTAATTCTATGCCTATGGTAGTTAAAGTCTCTATTACTGCATTTCTATTTTCACGGGGACCTTGGGGTCAGTGCGCTGAATGACTTTGGGTTTTTCCAAGGAAGAAAGAATCACAAATTAAAGTACTACTTGCACCCGTGCTTGGTGTCTCTTCTGTTTACTCACAGCAAAGAAACTACTACCACCAGAAACACGTAACTAAACACTCCATGTCTCAAAAGAGGTACACAGCCTCTGGTGAAGGGTTGCACACAGGAGGGCTTCCTCCCATTCAGGTATTGCTCTCTTTGATAGTCAGGCTCCAGTACAAGACAACTGGGTACATCTCTTGCCATTCTTATTCCTCTGTAGGCACCCATCAGTTAGTTCTCCATGCACACCTCAGGGTGTTGCACACTGTTCTCTGCTGGGGCTGCTCAACTCCTGTCTTCTCAAAGGCATGCTTGAAGGTGTCAAGGGGTAGGGCTGGACTGGTCACCAGATGAATGACAGGTGCTCTCTACTAATCCCTGTCCCTTCCCAAGGGAGAAGGGAAAGGGAATAAGGGAGAGAGACTCATGGATTGGAAAACTAAAACAGTTTCAATGAAAGAGTAATAGCACAGTAAGAAAATAATGAAAATAATGAAAAATATACATATATACAAAAAAAATATCAAAACTCCCCTAGTGAATCATCACTGATGCTGCAGGGCAGGCACTAGGGAAGCCCCAGACTAGACTCAGTGCAAGATGGGAACTGTGTTCAGGAGTTGCATTTGGACACTGGATTCAGTAATGCATGTATTGGGATTGAGGGCAGAAGAATGGAGTCCTCTTGGGACACTGGCCAATGAAGAAGAGGGTTTAACATTTGTGATCCCTCAGCTTTATACTGAACATGACATACATGGAACATCAGTTCTGGGTCATCTGTCCTGTTGGCTCCTCCCTGCAACTGCAACCTTTTACTTCCTTGTGACACTTTTACTTCCCAGCACCCCCAGCATGGCACACAAGACCTAGCAGTGACCTTAGTGACTATAGTGCAAGTATAAGCAAGAGCCTTTCTGCATACCAATCCCTGGTAGTAATTGTAAACATCAGGTGTTGTCACTTCTAGAAGCAGACACTGCCTGCAAAAAAATGCTGCCAACTTCAGAAAGTCTCTTAGAAGAGACTGAGTTGAAAAGTAAAATCACTGAACAATTTTGGTTCTGGTTTAGCTTAAAACAAGACAGCAGATAACCTGAGTTCTCCAGTAAATAGTGGTCGAGCTGACTTCTAAGCAAAATCAAGAGAAGAATGTACTATTTGAGTGCTACAACTATAGTTGTAGCTATTATAGTGCTACAACTGTAACTATTTTTGGGTTAACCCACTAAATATCTCAAGTCTGGACAGACACAGCAGATTTGGCTCACAAGGAGAAATATAATGAGAACAGTGTTAGCAAGTCTGCATATTTTAGCAGCTTGGGAAGGTCATTTCATTCTTGTACCTGACTTCCACCACTCTTCAATACTGGTCATGAAATTTCATCTGGTCATTCTTTTACAAAGCTTAATTTGTGTAGCTGGCTATTATTAAATAGCACATATGTCTGCATGGCAAGAAGGGAAATTAAGGAAGAAAATTAGCCTGTAATGTTCTTTTCTATCTGGTTAATAGGCTCCACGTGTATTATTATATTACAGATAATTCTAACATGTAATTTACTGAGTTGTACTGCCAATGCATCCTGCCACTATGTGGGAGACAGCAGCCGAAATACCCTGCAGACAGCTGAAGATGGCAAGATGTCTCCAGGAGAGCAGATCCACCTGATGGAAGGTGGGGGAAGGCAAGCAGGAGCTGTTTGGAAAAAAACAAGAACAACCTGCTAGGCACAAACCACTAAGAAAATGATGAGGGAAGGCAACTGAAGATGAGGGGAAAGCGGAGGTCAGGCTGGGCAGCAGCCCCAGCCCACCAGTAGAAGATGGTACGGGGGGGGCAATATATCATCTGCAAATGATGCCCCTTGCAGGCAGTTGGCAACTCAGGCACCAAGACCCCCACTTCTGGGTCTCACTACTCATGTCCCCAAGTGCTATTTTGACAGGAGGGTGCCACGCAAAACTCTTTCTTTAACACGCTCCACTGAAACAAACTCAGTTGTTACCAGCCTCAGACTCTCCAGCTCTGAATCTGATTTAACCTGAAGTGGTGTTCTCAGGTCCCAGACACCACCAGCAGCCTGAGCTGCTTAAATAAGGCCAGATGCTCTGGGACAGTGCTGGTGACTCACACATTGACCCGCTTTGTGATGAAGCAGAGTCAGTGGCTGGGCATGGGGCAAGGCGCGGAGGACAGGTGCCGTGGGGTCCTGGGGCAGCCCGGCAGCAGCTACGCAAGTTGGCTGTGTCCAGGGAGTCCTGCCACGCTGTTCTCAAATGCATTTTCAAGTGTCCCAAATTAATGCCTGTGCTGTGCAGCTGCGTTGTGCATCAAGCGTGCTCATGTCAAACATGTAATGTCATGTTAAGTGCAGCTAATGAATACAGGGCCTAAAAAACTAGAGGGAAAAAAAAAATTTCTCTAACCACATCAAGCAGTTAATACACAGAATAATAGAATCATTTAGGTTGGAAAAGACCTTTAAGACCATTGAGTCCAACCATTAACCTAATGATGCCAAGGCCACCACTAAATCATGTCACTGAGCAGCATATCTACATATCTTTTAAATACCTCCAGGGATAGTGACATCTTTTCCTTTTCCACATCTGACTATCTTTTGATGATGATATGCAAAACAGCACATGGAACAAGAACTCAAGTTCGTCCAGTGGCTTTAACCTTTCAGGATCCGTTGTGAGTAGACAGATAAGGGGAAACTATTTGGCAATAGATGCAGAGCTAGAGTAGGATGCATGGAGAGCGGGCATATTAACACCAACGTTACTAATGACTGATGTTAGCTGGCTTTGGCTGCTAGTATCCTCGCCGATGGAGAAGTTAATATCATGGAAAACATTACTTCCCATTCCACCTCTCAGTATAAGAAACCTCTCCTTTCTTTATCTACTTGACGGATTTCTGTCAAGTCAAGGGAGCAGGGACACTGTTCTGGTTTTTTTGCCACTTGCATGGACGCCAGGAAGTATAGCTCAGTGCTGGGATAATTGGGGCCCATTCTACTCACACAGCACTGGTGAAACTGCACCTCAGTCAGTCTCTAGATGTGAAAGGGATATTTATCTTCCAGAGGAGAGAAATGCCTTTCATATAAGAGTCGGGTCATGAATAAAAATCTACATGAAAGTGAATGGCCTCTGCTGTACGAGATAGTCTCACCACATATTTCTGACTTTTTCGCTGGAATCTACTTTAAGGAGGATGTTTGCTACTTAAAATTAGCTTTGATTGGTTAAGCTAGGTTCTTCACACACCCTTATTAAACAGAACCTGTTCTCTTCTCTTCTCTCTTTATGTAGCCTAAGCAAAAGACATGGCCATGTTTGCCCACAGCGTGGAGAACAGCAGCAGCCCTCTCGTTCTCCCTACCCAACTGCTCCTGCTGCAGAACAAGAGCTACCCCAAAACACCCATCACTCCTGCAAGCTACGGGCTGACAGAGTCTCCCAGAGGAAACAGCTCGGGCAGGAACCACACTGTCCTGCAGTATGACCTGAGGCCGGGGGAAATTGCAGCAGCCAGCGTGGTTTTGGGAGCACTGTGGCTGGTTTCCACCTTTGGAAACTCCCTTGTTTGCTTAGTGATCCACAGGAGCAGGAGGACTCAATCCACCACCAACTATTTCGTTGTCTCCATGGCTTGTGCAGACCTCCTCATCAGCATCGCAAGCACGCCCTTCGTGCTGCTCCAGTTTGCCTATGGCAGGTGGATGCTGGGGAACGTGATGTGCAAGGTGGTGAGGTACGTACAGTATCTCACTCCCGCAGTCCAGATCTACGTGCTCCTCTCGATATGCGTGGATCGATTCTACACAATCGTCTACCCCCTGAGCTTCAAAGTGTCGAGGGAGAAAGCCAAGAAAATGATTCTGGCCTCGTGGCTCTTGGATGCTCTCTTTGCATCACCGGCTTTCTTCTTCTATGGCACCAACAGCGAAGGCCACTGCAACTTCTTCCTCCCCAGCTCTTGGGAAGGAGCCGCCTACGGTCTCATCCACTTCTTGGTGGTGTTTCTGATCCCATCCGTCCTCATTATGCTCTTCTACCAGAAGGTCATCAAGTACATTTGGAGAATAGGCACCGATGGCAGGACTGTCAGGAGGACAACAAATATAGTCCCAAGAACAAAAGTGAAAACCATCAAGATGTTCTTGATGTTAAACTCCGTGTTTCTCTTCTCTTGGCTCCCTTTTTACATGGTACAGCTGTGGCACCCACAGGAAGCAGACTACAGGAAGAGCTCCTTGACTTTCCTGGCCATCACCTGGATCTCTTTCAGTTCTTCAGCCTCTAAGCCAGCCCTCTACTCTGTCTACAATGCAAACTTCAGAAGAGGGATGAAGGAAACCTTTTGCATGTCGGCCATGAAGTGCTACAGAAGCAACGCATACACTATCACCTCCAGTTCCAGGCTAGCCAAAAAAAATCACGTTGGGATTGCAGAAATCTCAGCTCCACCCAAAACGGTCACCAAAGACTCCATCTATGATGCTTTTAACAGAGAAGCAAAGGAAAAAAAGCTTGCCTGGCCTATTCAGTCAAATCCCCCAAATACTTTTGTCTAGTCAGCTTCATTGCTTTGAAAAACTGCTCTGTGTCCCCAGAACAAGGAGCTTTCTCCCAGTTTTGGACTGATGTATATATACATATTTTTAACACAACTTTTAGGGAAGAATAAAAGATGGTTTATTTTATTAAATGCCTTGATTTTGATGTGTCCTGTCTATTTCATTTCAGTTACATTCTGCTTTTTACAACTGCTCTCTCTCAACCAAAGACGTAACATTTTTGCACATTTTTTTCTTGTATGCAGGAAAAAAAAGGGAAAGTAAAAAAGCAGGTGTTTTTAAATCCCTGTACATTGGCCAAGGTGTATAAATGCTCAAAACCATCTATATTTCCTTTCATTATGTCCCTGTGAATGCTTTTGCACTGAGGTTTTGCTTCCTGTTCAGACCCCACAAGGGCTAAGACATCCATATGTGGGCAGCGCTGGCCTAACTCTGAGCCCACTGACATCAGCGCTAAAACTTCCACTGCCCCAGGGTGCTCAGCATCAGGCCAGAGCCAAACACTTTTGCATCTTCAGTGTTGCACCCCTCCAGAGGTCTCATGGTCCAAACTGCTGGAGAGAAGTTCTCCCTTTGGTCTTTGCCCTCCCTGCCTCCTCTTGAGCTGGTTCTGTACCCAGCCTGGGGCATCCACCCAGAAGCCAGAGGGCACCCCCTGGGAGAAGATATTTATCTCCCAGAGGAGAGAAATGCCTGTCCTATTATAGTCAGGCCACAAATAAAAATCTGCATGAAAATGAATGGCCTCTGCTCTACGAGATAGTCTCGCTGCATATTTCTGACCTTTTCGCTGAAATCTGCTTCTTTAAGGAGGATGTTTGCTACTTAAAATTATCTTCGATTGGTTAAGTTAGGTTCTTCACACACCCTTGTTAAACAGAACCTTTTCTCTTCTCTCTTTATGTAGCCTAAGCAAAAGAGGGATGAAAGAAACTTCTTGCATGTCGGCCATGAAGTGCTACAGAAGCAATGCATGCACCATCACCACCAGTTCCAGGCTAGCAAAAAAAAATCACGTTGAGATTGCAGAAGTCCCAGCTCCACCCAAAACTGTCACCAAAGACTCCATCTATGACACCTTTAACAGAGAAGCAAAGGAAAAAAAAAGCTTGCCTGGTCTATTCAGTCCAATCCCCCAAATACTTCTGTCTACCTGGCTTCATTGAATCACAACTATATCCTTTATGCAAAACAGAAAAGTTCTTACACTGTCTATATGTAGGGATAAAGGGAAGAAACATTGCTTTTTAAGTGCCTGTAGATCGGCCATGGTGTATAAATGCATAAATCCACCCAAAGCATCTATTTTTCTCAAAATAGTATTTTTTTTTCAGTTATCAACCTCATTAACAAGATCTGGTATGAGTCTGTGTGTGGAATATTGATATATTTTCCTAGCCCCCACAATATTGCCCAGAAGTTATCTACAATAAGGCATCAGCCCTAGCATCCACTTGGTGAATTCCCCTCATTCTGCTGAAGCAATGTGCTCCCATGAGGTGGAGCCGTGGAAGGCCTAGCCCAGGCTGCTGCACCCCTTGCCCAGGAAGGTTGAGATTTTATCTTCTTACAACATCAGCGGAAGAATCCCACAGGGTTCAGACCAGAGGTCTATCCCTCATCCTGTCATTGACCTTGAGGTCTTTGAGGATAGACAGTAGGAAGCAGGGAAGCTACAGCAAGATCTTCTGACACCCATTCCAGCTTTTGGCAGTCGCTGCTATAAATTAACACCCTTGACAGGGTAGCAGCCAAAAGGTGGTGCCATTCAGTAAATCCAGAGCAGGTCCAGAATGGGCCTTGTCACAAAGACCAAAGATAGGGCAAGCATCCCCACTTTGCTTTCTCAGGCCCCATCTGAGTGGATTTCAGGAGAGTTTTGCCTGAAAATCAAGGTTTGACGCCTTTTCAGTTGAGGATGCCAAGCACTTTTTTTCCTGTTCCCTATTTTCTTCTCAACTAGCTCTGACAAAGTCAGAAGATGGTGAATAGTTGATCCTCACCCACTCTCTCTGTGCCAGTCTTGAATTTGTAAACCTCTCAGTTATTTCTTTTCTGTACTGAAGAGTCTCATCCTACTCAGTCATTTCTTGCACAGAACCAGCTTCAGACCAGGCTGTCCTTGGAGCACCCTAATGTAGCAGCCAGGCTGTAGCCAGACATCCTCAAGTCCAGACTACAGCTGGCATTTCATACTCAAGTCATTCTAAAAGTGTGGATCCTTTGACTCCAGGCATTCAGCTAAGCAATAGAAGACAATGTGCGGGTGTCAGCTATCCTTCCACATACTCCTATGACAAAATCTCAAGCTGTATGTTTGAAAGAGACATCCTCAGTCAAACTGCCTCAGGATTATCTCTTTCTTCTGCTTTCAGAGCAAATGTGCCACAGCCAGGTTTCTGTTTGTGTCTGGGGCCTGAAAGTGCTGCGGTAATGAAAGGTAGTAGAACAACAGCAGCAAGTACTACAGGGTGTATTAAACGCGTGCGAGTATCTCCCTTTCCTGTCAGCAGGGAGCAGAAGCACACACTGGTGGAGCCCCAATTAGACATCCTCTGAAGAGAGTCTCATGCTGGCAATATGGGTGGGGAAACTCCTTTGCTGAGAAATATTCCTGTACGTATGGTAGAAAACTTCCTTCCTTCTCCTCTGCCACACAAAGTGTGGTGGTAAGAACCCTTTCCGACTGTAGGAAGACTTCCAGTTCACATGTTTCACAAATTCAGAAATCCCCAGTAAATAAGGATCTGCTATTTCTCATTAAAGACATTAGCAAAAATTCCCGTTAATTGGGAGGAAAGAGGACCTTGAAAATGAGGCAAGAGCTACATTTTCTGTGTGGCTCTTGTTCCAAGCAGGTTCTTTCTCCCTGAAACACCACTGTGTGCTTAGTTTTTCTTTGTCACTTAATTAGCTCTGACAGAGTAAAATCCGATCTAGGGTAAGCAGGCCAGATCAACTTTGCAACATTATTTTTAACCTTGGGTTGCTAGACTGAAACCCAACAGTCGTTCTTTCGGTTAGTAGCTTTCTGAAAGAAATGGGTCTGAACAGAATGAGCACTGAGGTTGCAGAGGACATGGTTACCCACCTCCTTCTAGGTCTGAGTCCAGAGGGACCCAGGACACTTGTTCCTTCAAGTCTAATTGAATGGGAGTGCGTGAGGCAGCCTCGTTATTTGGGCATCAAGGACAGGACAAACTGTAGCAGTCACTGTCTCATCAAGGTGTATCCAAAGAGGCTGTAAGCAGTAAACCATTGTACAGTCAGACCCCAAAGCTATTCCAGTGGATGTAGCCCATGCATAGCCAGCTTCCAGCCCGCAGATGAGGAGCAGGTCTCAGATCATTGCAGATCCCAAAGGAAAATGCTGCGGCAGCCACCATCTGCAGGGGTTGCTGTCTTTAGATTGGTCCGTTTCTGAGGAGGAATGAAGGGAGAGAGGCAGCCTGACCCTAAGGTGCTAGTGTTCCATTGCAGACCCGCAGTCTGGCAGATGTCGTTGCACACACAAAGCCCAAAGAACACATCAGTGGGTGTGAAACCACATCATGGCCCCAGGTTTAAACATCTGGCAGCTCTGCCCTGAAATCATGTGCCTAATCAACCCTGTGACTCTGAGTGAAGTCTGGAGGTTGGCTTTCTTAGAACACTTTTCTATATCAGTAAATGCTCAGTCACAGATATGACTCTGCTTGCATAACTTCTTTTAGCCAAAACTAGACTGATAAAAACACATTCTCACCAACATAAGTTGCTTTTGAACTTGGAGGAATTTGCCCATGTGGCTGTGCCTTTATGCAGTTCTACTGATAAATCTTCCTGATTTCTACTTCCATATGACTCAGCTTTTGGGGCTGTTAAAAAAAATATCCAAAGCAACCAAACCCATTTCTTCAATTGCTAGCTAGCTGAGAGATCCCTCGTTATGAAAAGCCAGCCTTCACCACAACCTTCACAGTACAAATGAAAGGAGCCTGTACACTGGGTTCATATGTACATGCTCACTCCTACCTCCTTCTTTTCCCTTTTTCCCAAGTCCTGCCAGTCCTCTCTGTCCTTTATCTCATCAGCTGTGGCTGCTGACCAGGTTCATACCTCGGTGAACTCCTGGGAGAAGTCCCTGAGGAAAGGCTGCTCAAGCAGTCCTAGCAGATCTAGCCCTCCAGACGACACTCAGCTACTGGCATTTTGGTGCTGCCACTTTGAGAGCCAAAGAAGACACCATGCCACAGCGGCACTGAAGGTGGAAAATATTTTTCAGCTTGATGGCCGAATCGGCAGCTACTCCATGCTTACGGTTGATTTTGGAATCCTGAAATGGATGGAGATTGACAAGTGCTGGCCTAGCGCTATAGCAAGGAGAAATTTTTTCCACTACTTCCATCATTTTAGGATGGGTGATGGACGAGTTTGATAGCACCAACCACCAGGTATCTCCTGGTCTGCCAAGATCTCAGAGGTACCAGAGACTCAGGAGGAAGATCATGGATTATCTAAGCAAGAAATGGAAAATGCTGCAGGATTTGTCTGATCTATATAAACAAACAGCTCTGCAGTCCCTCCCAACTCCTCACTGCCAAGAGATTGTTTCAGTGATAGATCCAACGCAACAATAAAGTTAATGAGGGCCCAGGAAAATAACAGAAGATTGGTGAGGAGGATTATAAACACACTCAAGTGACCGGAAGTTGAGTTGTAGAAAAACATATATACTAATTGTTGTTTAGCCTTGTGGATTGTACAAGCAGAACATCTCTGTTTCGATAAAATAAGCCTGTGATGGAAGGTGCCTATCGAACGTGCTTGAGATTCCTGCCCCGCTGCAGGAAAGATCAAAGCAGAGTGGTAAACTACACTTGTGCAAATCCCTGAAATATAGGTGAAAAAAAAGCAGGTTTGGCGATCCTCTAGCAAGGACCCAGCTCCGCAGTGCCTGTGTCCCCGCTTGTGTGCCTTTGTCTGGATGCTGCTTCAGGGATCCCCCAGTTGGC